CCAGATTGGCCGACCCGTTACCGTCTACACGCTCAAACAATGCATGGACGACCTGACAGGACTGCTAACGTTACGTTACCTGGGTTGAGTGGCCTGACTTCTACACCTACCTATAGACCATTTCACAAGATGTAAACAACACTGGTCCAGACCCAGACAGCAAACTGACATTGAATCAACGTGGAAACAACGTCTTTCATGACATCGAAACAACGTTGATTTTGCTCATCGAATTAACGTTGAACCAACGTCAGACGCGGCATTCTTCAAAGCTAAATGAAAATCGAAAATTGGTTTGCTTTCATAACGTTGAAACAACGTTGATTTCAAGTTGATTTTCCGTTAGTTTTGAAAGAATGACGCGTCTGACGTTGGTTCAACGTTAATTCGATGAGCAAAACAATGTCAGATCAACGTTGTTTCGATGTTATGTTTCCACGTTGATTCAATGTCAGTTTACTATCTGGGGAAGCACTTCCTGTTTCAGTTTTTTAACACTACATAAAAGCTGGGATAAAATACAACCAACAGAACATTTAAAACTGAATCAAAAAGTTAAACAAACATCTTTAAGATGTTTTCTTTACATGTGAAATAAAGAAAACAGTTACAAACTGAAACAGGAAGTGCTTCTGGACCAGTGTTGTTTACATCTTGTGAAATGGTCTATAGAGAAACCGATCGTTAAGAGAAACTGAGGGCATGTAAATCTTTAGATGCCTATGACTATGTGCTGAATGGTCCTGTGCAAGACGTGTGTACGATCCGCAGTTTTGCCGAGCCAGGGCAGAGAAGACGACACTGTAAAGAGTGTCATTACGGTGTGATTTTAATCATGTGAATATTTTCTAGAAATAAAAAATCCAGATACATTATATTAATTCTTCATTGATACCAAACAACACAATAAGATGACATTTAAAAATAATAAAAGTAGTTTAAGCTCCTCATTATGTAGCCGAATCTGTGCTGGTTTGCATTGGCCGCCACCAGTTTTCACTTTGTTTTGCCTCCAGCTAGCGCCGTGACGTAACTGTGACGTCGACGCAAAAGGGGTCTATTAGATTGGAATGTGTGTGTAAACACACTAAATAAAGGTTCTTTATTAGCATCGATGATTCCATGTAGAAACATCCATGGAACCTTCCCAATACACAAAAGGTTCTTTATTCATACTTTGCACGTGACATCACAAGTACTGGCTGGCGGGCAAGAACGCCATTCTCCAGCAACAAAACCCAGTAAACTAGTCAAGAATCTTGCCAGGACGTCACCAGTTTTTATACAAAAGTTGGTGTTTCAAGGTGTAAATAAAACGCCACGCCAGATAGTTGTGGTGCGATTGGTTGCACTAACCAGATGAGAGAAGCAACCTTCACAGTATAATGTTACACCTCTGTGCAGTGATCATTCCATCACTTAAGGCAATTTCAACATTTGTTTGAATACAATTTGTTTGAATACAATCTTTACGTTAACCTGCAGTTTCATCAATAAACGCCGCAGGTGGTTGGGCGAGTCAGCTGTTTGTGTTATGAGGCTAACTGTATGTATGCTCACACCGCCGTTGCGAAAGTGGCAAAATTCATTTTGAAAAATGAATGACTTCTGGGCACTTCGATGCTCCCTGCCGGTGGCGGTGTAAACGCAGCGTCGTATTTTGTCGTATTTTGCTAAAAACAACAAAGGTGTGTGGTAGGTTGTTTTGAAGTTTGTGATATTTATGGTTTTCGATGAGAACAGTAGAGCTAGATAAATTTACGAAGAATTATTTTTGCTCGATGATCTAAAAAAAAACCTTGTCTGCTTTACACAATTGAACTACCTTCACCTTGGAGTTAATCCTAGTCCATAGTTATGCAGCTAGCTCGCTAACAGACTTAGCTACAATAAAGACGCGAAACTACAGGACTCTACGTTGAAAATACCCGTTTGTTGCCCGCCAGGCATCTATGGTAGTCACGTGACTGCAAAGTATGGATAGAGGAAAATGGTTCTTTGGACATTTAAAATGTTTTTCAGACCAAGAAAAAAAATGGTTATTTTATGGACTTTTCTGAAAGGTTCTTTAAGGAAGGTTTTTTTATGGCATCGCTGAGAAACTCCACTTTTGGAACCATTATTTTTAAGAGTGTATACTGAAGTTACAAGAAGTACTGTACCTAAGAAGCAAAACTGCTCCTTTTGATCCAACAGCAATGTCTGGGAGACTGTCTCCACTGTGATCTAGGGAGGACTGACTAAGAGCAAGTCCAAAAAAATGTAAACCTGGGCGCACAGCTGATCCAGTAATTCTCTAAACACAAAGAATAAGAGAAAGGGGAACTGTTTTAGATTAAGCCAAAGGTCATACAGAAGTGGTCTATTAGCGGCAGTCAACAAAAGGTTACAAGGCTAGGTACTAAAATTGGCAGACCTGTGAATATTTGGGGTTTATTTAATCTATTTCACTATTGAAGATGTAGATGCTGCCCTGTCCATCCTCCTCTAAAGGAGCTCCAACCAGCACATCCATGAAACCATCACCATTCAGATCTGCTGGACTGGCCAGAGAAGAGCCAAACCGACCCCTCTGACCTGCCATGCCCACCAGCACGACAGAAAAATGAAGTATGGCTGCGAAAAAACAAACAGAAAAAGAACAAAACTTTTAAAAGACTAAATAAAGTCTAAAGGAATCTGGAATTTAGAATCTGGAATTAAACCATTTTAACCTATACCTGCCGAGAATAAAAGTACACAAAAACTCTGCCTTCAGAATGGTAGTCTATATACGTTGGTGCAGATATTAATAGAAGATCTGTTTTTGTGTCAGAGTTCAGATCAACCACACAGACCTCAGCCCCAAAGTATGAACCAATCTGGGACTGAAAGAATAAAAAAGAAAAGGTCTCTTCACCAGAAACACCAGATAATACTACAACCAAATGCAACGGCCAATACGTTGCAAAACTGAGGTAAGATTCAAGTACCTTGCACTTTTTATCAAACAAATATGACTGGTGAAATCTTTACATGTACCTTGGGTGACTCCACTAGCTGGTTTGTTTTGTTAACTCCAATTATTGAAATGCTTACTTGTCACTTGCTCCCAGAATCACAAACTTTTTTTTAGACCGTGTTGCTACTGTCATTGAATAACCTTTAAAAAACATTAGATAATCAAATCTTTAAAGAAATAGTGCACTCAAAAATATATAATAGCCATCATTTACTCATCCATCACCATCAGACAACCACTGGTCACAACATGTTTTCATTCTATGGAAAAAGCAACTCAGATATTTCTTAGAATATTCTTGTTTGTATTTATATTGGCTTGGAATCGAGTACATTGTTTTGGGCATCATTGTTACAGTATCCTTTCATTGTAGATGTAGATGACCTCAATAAATGTATGGCCAATTTTTGAGCAAGCTCTTACCCAAGTAACTATCTTGCTCACTTCCCACATGGAAGTCTGATGATTGCTCATTTTGATACTGTTCTTGATATCCGGCCTTCCCTTGGAAAGCTCCCACAGAACTCATGATCAGGCTTACCTAAATAAAGAGGTTTGTATTTGTATTTGAATTTTTTTCCCTCTACACTACTTCTCTATTTTGGTATTTTCATTAATACTTTTTGCTATTGTCTATAAAAAATAAGAAATGTTTCTTGAGCACTAAATCAGAATGATTTCTGAAGCATCATGTAATCTTCAAATAATCTTCACTCTTGAATCTCAGGAGAGTGATACTTAGTATCCATTGGATTGTTGGCTGCCTAAATTATTGCTTAAATAAAAAAATGGTTTTCAAAACAAAGCCTTGAAGTATTTAGTTACATTCGATGTAAACGCTGCACTAAATCCATCTTGTGCAAACTCCATTTTAGCAGAATCACCAGTGGACTGGACTCCTGAAAGAAAATACATTATTACATTAAAATAAAATAAGAAGTGGAAGAACTAGAAGAAGAATAAGTGATATATACCGTATAAGATGATGTGCTGATATAGCTGGAAGCGCAAAACTTTCTGTTTACAAGCAGAGGAAGATGCGCGCTGTGCACTTAAAAGCCTTTAATCTTCTCAAAAAACGACAGTGTTCCTTATAATCCGGAGCGCCTTATATATGGATCATCATTTTATACGGTAGGTGGCGGTAAAACTCCTAAGCGGTGAGCAGCCGGTAACAAAAAGTAGACGAATGAGAACGTCCTCGTCTCAGTTCTCGCGCATGCGCCCATAAGGAAGTAATGGAATAGAGGAATAAAGTCGTTATTTATGTTTTTTTCGCACAAAAAGTAGTCTCGTCGCTTGATAAACTTATAATTGAGCCGCTGTAGGCACATGGAATATTTAAACCTTTTCTTTAATGACTTTATGGGCCGTCAAGAGGCAGTCCCTTAGGCAGTCTATCTAGGACTGATCCAGCTCTCAGATTCAATCAAAAATATCTTTATTTGTGTTCCGAAGACGAACGAAGGTCTTACGGGGTTGGAACAGCATGGGGGTGAGTAATTAATGACTTAATTTTCATAACCCTTTAAGCTCTGTGTTTTCTTCAGTCCTTTGTCACTTCTCGTTGAGTTATTTTTGGTTGTTCTGTTCATGTTTTCTAGTGTCCTAAGTTCTTGGTCAACATTTACTAATACTGCATTTACAAACTTGAAGGTTGTCTGTTAATGTTATTTAATGGAACTGAGCTATAATGGACTAACGTGTAATAACGTAACATATTCATTGCTCATTGTTATAATGTAAGGTGAACCGTTAATGTTAAGTATAACTGAACCATAATTGACCCTTCTTGTAATACACAAATATTTTGTACTGGATCAACAATTTTATTGAAAAGACATGACTTAAAAGAGTGATTTGTTGAATGGACTCTCTTTGGGGGACTATTTTAATTATACTTTTTGTGTGATTTTGCATCCTTTTTTGATGCATGGATATTACCCCAAAAGCAAATCGGATGATGTTCTTCGCTGCCTTTTCAACAGCACCTCTGAGATGAGGTCCATCATTTGATCTACCATCAGTGATAACAATTAAGATTTTAATAGCTGATTGCCTCACCCCTCCTTCAGCTATGAAGAGCTCATCCCTGTACATTGAAAATAAGACAAATCAGGATTGCTATTATAAGTTACATACAGTATGCATCTACACAACGTTGTAAATAAAACAGATTGCTACAGTATGTTTTATAAGAAAATACTATTTCAGTCTATATACTTCAAAATTTCACATTTAACCCAGGTATTACTTGCTGTTGTTTATGCACTATACTGTATTTATCGTATTTGAACACAGAAAAGAAATACAGTTGTAATCGAAATTAAGTATACGTCATTAAAAGTTGCATTTGAAAGGGGTGTCGTACATCAGTTTATTCATAGCCTTCGCAGTGTAGGTCCATCCTTTTTGCTGTTTTATCTCTCCTATTCTTGTGCTCCATGAATGAATGTCTTTAACTGTTTCAAAGTTGGAGTGAATTTCATAACCAGTGGAGAACTGTGCAACAGCAAACTAAAAGACAAGAAAACATTCACACATAAAAATCTGTGTGATGGCCTGCAATGTGAACCACACTTTATGAGTCAGGTAAAAATTACCCTTCTGGAATCCTCAAACATAAAATCATACCTGAGAATTGCATTTGGAAAAAACTCTGGATTATGGTTATAACAAAAGTTTTCATTTTAATGAAATCTGGGTCATCTACACTTTCAGAGCCGTCCATTAGAAAAGCAATATCTATTTCTAGAGGGCAGCCTGTGAATGAGGAGTTTAGCATATGATTAGATTAACAGAAATGCAAAAGGACAGGGATTTGGGTACTTCTTCATTTGACTTACTTCCAAAGCACTTGGTATAGGTGCACTCACTATTGTTTCCACTGATATTAAAGCACATACCATTGAGGGTAGTAATTATTTTGCAGTCCTTAGGAATAGTTGGCCCACAAACCTGAGAGGGGATTGAGAGTTTTTCATTTTATCGATACGCACAGCAAACACCAGTATGGAAGAGCAATATATACAATTAATATAAACATAAACTAAAGGGGCTAAATGTACTTTTTTATTGCTAATGTGCAACAAGCTTGCAACGAAACGCCTCTTAGGCAGCTGTTTCAGTCATGCGGAAACATCAAACTCTCCAAAGCTGACTTTATCTATAGCAAACAGAGCTTCTAACGGCAGCTGCAGTTACAAAATGACTTTAGCAATCTGCAATCAAGTCTTTTACTTAAATTGTGTATTGCACATTCTCCTAATCATAAGTAATATGAGTGCACCATCTTTGTATCTAAAAACTGTGCTTCAGTTATTCTTTTTGCTAATTACAAGGGTTTTGGAATTGTACAGATAGCCCCAAATAAATCATATTAATTGTAATATTCTGCTTAAAATTAGCCTGAAGAATCTGTATAGTGTGTGTTGTTGTTTTTTTCATGTCAGGATGAGCACATAACTTACCACTGAATTGGAAGATTGTGTATCCTTAGTCATAAAAAGCCCAAGAGACATGTTAACAGCTTCAGAAGGCACTTTCATTGCATAGATAAAATCGGTTAGATTGTAGATCAGACTTATTATGTAAAATGTGCGATATGAAAAGTTAAATACCATTAATTGGCACCGGCAGGCAAGTTTCCTGTGAAATTGCACAACTATAAAGTTGTCGGTGATAAACGGATCACTCACAAGCAAACTATGGAAAAGTAAAGAAAAATATATGTTAGGTTTCAAATATATTTCATGTTTAAATGCATTGGGTTGATTTAATTCAGTTTAAGAAATCGGTAACACTTTACAATACGGGTGCACTAATATGCATTAATTTACGCTTAACTAATGCAGATAATCATGAGTTAATGTATAACTCACGAAGAACTAAACCATTAATTAATGATTACTGCATTAGCAACTAATAAAGAGTCTATAAGATTAATAGATTAAGTAATACATGATTTGCTATTAATTCAGTGTGTCTGTAACGATGAGGAGGCAAGGGGGAATCCAAATGCAAGCACAATGGTTTAATAAAGATAATAGACAAACAAAAGGGAAATCCATGGAAACCAAAGAAACTTAGAAACTGTAACTCAGAACAAAACTCAGAAACAAGAACTCAGAACTAGAAACAACGCTACAGTGAAACATCGACCGACACCCAACAACTGAAACACAGGGGTTTAAATACACAGACAAACAAGCTAAACGAGGGAACAAGGGGGCGTGGTAAATCAGAAACACCTGGGGAAACTTATAAACAAGAAAAACTACAAAGGACTACAAAACCTGGCACAGAACAGAAAATAACTAAAGTCCACACAAGACAAGGAAAACACAAGACAGGAATCGTGACAGTGTCATTGTGTATTAATTCCTTGATAACATATTTTATGAACTAATAGTGTAAATTAATGTGTTAAATACCACAATTAGTCAAAGCTATGCACTTCAACTTCCAGTTGTCTGCTTTAATTAATCATTAGCTAATGATTTGCAAAGGTATCATTATGTTATGACTTTACTTGTTGGGGCACATCATTATTAACTAGTCATTTAGTAATTGTAGTAATTTGCACATGAACTTGAACTAACAATGAAGTAATTAATCATATGTTAATGCATATTAGTGTACCTGTCGTATTATCTGGAAGTTGAAATACAAGGCTTTGGGCTCAACACTGTAAAAAAAATGAGTTATTATGGAATTAATCCACAATTACATATTTAATTAATAACAATTAATGTATGAACTAATACATTAACCTTACAGACTCTTAATTAGTTCCTAATGTGGTAATCATTAATGAATAGCTTAGATACCGTAATAGCTTAGTATTATCTGTGCATTAGTTAAGCATGAATTAATGCTTATTAGTGCACCCATATTGTAAAGTGTTACCAAGAAATCAAACCTCATATATAAACTGTGTTTCTCTCACCTAGATGTGTCTCTCTGTATGACTCTGTAGCCAAACCCAACATCATTATTTCTTGTGAAGAATTTCCAGGTCACAGGGTCGATGTTGAACATCAGCACTGACTGAAATGCTAAATGATGGAAATTAAGACCAACACACATAAATATATGTTAATTTTTAGGGTCAGTCAGCTTAGATTGCGAATCTTTTGAAAAACAAAAACATATGATCATTTCAAAAATTATCAATAGGATGTCAGTAAAATAAAATTTCAGATTTTAGTTTTTCAAAAGAAAGTATTTCTTTGGTGTCATATATATTTAGATAACTGTCACTGATTGTGCATTGCATTTCAAACACCCCAAACCAAAGCTCACAAAAAGAAACATTTACAGTGCGTTTAGAAATACAAGACAAGAATTAGTTTTATTCACTAATTAATGCCGTACTACAATGGATGGTCTAGATGGCTGGATTTCTAAATGTTTGGTGAATGGCCACCCGGTGCTCTAAATCAAACCTTTTGACAGTTCGATAATCTCTATTCAGTTTTCACAAAATGTTAATTATTTTCATGCATTGAAAGTGATTGCACTATGCTTTTCATTTCCAGAAAGATATTTTTCTTCCCCATATTGCATGAGAACCGTGACTTGCTTAACAATGCAGAACAACCTCTTTAAATATAGGTTCCCTTAAAAATGGAAACTTGATCTCGTTACCCTTCTCACAGAACAGGTTACAGTAGATTTGCAACCCAAAATGTTTCCAATTTACTTAAAAGTATATATATAAAAAAAAATTTAACAGATTGTTACCAATTATCTAAAAAGATATGAGAAATAAAACAAACAAAGAAGCACTTTCTTTGAAAAACTAAAATCTAAATGTTTATTTAACTAAAATCCCATTGATATGTCACTTGCATTATATTTGGAACAATTTTATTTCTCATATCTTTTTAGATATATGTTATTTCAGAGCTTTTCACACTTTTTGATGCCAATTCGATTTCGATCCCCAAATGTAATCCTTTTCATGTACAAACACTTATTTATTTGGTTTGAAAAAAAAAAGTGTGACCTTTGGGGATGCAAAACATTTTAATTGATTAATCTATTTCATAATGAATAATTTTAGGTGCAAGAAATGATCCTGTCCTTGTGGTTTTATAAAGACAACATGTTGTTTGATTAACTGACATTGGAAACAAAGGGGAAAAGACTGTCACAGATGACAGAATGAAAGAGAGAAGAGAAGAGGAAGACTGGTAGGAAGTTGCCAAACCTTTTTTTTTTTTTTTTTTTTTTTTATTATTAATGCCACGAACAGAACAATACAATGAGACATAATCCTTCAAAGTGAAACAAAAAAACAAAGTAAATAAAATAAAAAAGAACAGTGCCAGAGGATAAAAAAATATACAGTATTACAAACAGAAAAGGGGTGCTACATTATATATCATATCTGCTTACAATGCTATAAGCTCTAATTGCCTTTTTACTTGTGCAGTTACACAAAAGAGAACAATAAAGCTTAACATCATTTTTAAAGCAAGAAAAATTAGGTTTGGAGTCAGACCATTTCATTTTATGAATGTGAAACTTCCCCATCAGTATTAACAATTGTATCAAATATGCCTTATCTTTCTCAAGGAAGTTGCCAAACCGATGCTGTGAAATAATAGTTTAGTGATGTAAGACTGGAAGAACTGGTTGTAGAGATCAACCTCACCACAGGTCTATGAGACGAAGGACCTTGCTTGCAAATTAACATTTGAACACCTCTCACACACTCCTTCCCCGCATCCCCCACTTTTGCAGAGATCACCCACATTCACACAAAAAAACCATATGGTATATGTTGAGCCACTGGGGTCTCGAGTCCCACGGAGGAGCTCCGGAAGGATAAAACGAGGAGCAGTGTTGTGCAAGTTACTTCCAAACTGTAATACATTAGGTATTACTTGTTACTGTTATTTAAAAGTAATTCATTACCTTACAATATTACTGTCTCAGAATTGTAATGCGTTACATTACTCATGTATTACTTTTGAGTTACTTTCACCAAAAAAACTAAGTAGAACTTAACTTTTGGGCTGTAACGATATGCAATATGAAACCGAAATCGCGATTCACCACACGACTTACAGAATCGCGACACACCTCTTCCAACTCCCAGCGTTATTCTCCTTACCGTCCAGATCCAATGCTGCCTTATCTTTAAATTAGGCTATTAGTATTATTTGAAGTTAACATTTGAAGTTAACCACAAAACTAGGCCTAGTTGAGGATAAATTATTGAAAATTGGGGAAGTCCAGCATTATGGACATGATGACATTTGCAGTCAAAACTTGAAATAAAAATTCTCAGAAAATACATGTATTGAAACGTATATAGGCTACTTCCTTAAAGGACTCCAGACATTAGACAAATATCAGTCTATGTTTTATTTTTAATATTAGGGAAAAGACACACATTCATGCATGACAAAAAAATATATTTATTTATATTACATATATATATATATTTTTTGTAATTCTGTTAATTACACTGCGCAAATCGGATGAGGAAGGGTTGGCTCTCCAGTCTCCATAGAACTTAAAATATTCATTTTATTTTAGTTTTCGTGTTCGCATTTATGAGGAAAAAAAACAATGTTACAGACGCGACCGCTCTGAACTGGCACTAAAAGACTGCTTTAAAACTTTCACATAGTCTGTTGCCTTTAAGAAGTAAAAGCAGACAATACACTGTAATACAACTGTAATACAAGCCTCACTGAACATGTAACGAGTAAAATATTACTGAAAATTGATTAGTAATGCCTTACACTACTGCGTTACAGCAAAAAGTAATATGTTACAGTAATGTATTACTTTTGTAATGCGTTACTCCCAACACTGACGAGGAGTGACGACAGTGGAAGACGAGAGAGGGCCAGGCCTGGACTTTATGTTGGTGCTTAATTATACTTTATGTGGCAGTCATCCGAGAAGTGCTCCCACTTTACTTTCGTTTTGTTGTTTATTATATTATTAAAGTTATGTATAATTAAAGTTCGCTGTTCTCCGCCTCTTTCTTCCCGTATCAACAAACCTTGTTACGCTGGTGCTGAAACACGGGAAGGAAATGCTCATTATCACTCGCCCTGCTTTCCACATCATGTTTGCAATGACATTTATTTTCTAGAGAATTTAATTTGGGATTACTACAGAAAAATACTCATCAGAAAAAATCAGAATAACTAACTCAATAACTATTAATTGCTACTGTATGATTTAATTTAAAATGAATGCATAGAATAAACAAATGAAGAGTTCAGATGCAAAAGCCTCTAAGTGCCATTTGAAATTTTCTTCTAGAATGATCATTTTTTATCAAGCTTGTATATTTAAGTTCAGTGATTTCACTTAAATGGCAATGATAATTACCTATTAATTGTTATTTAAGTGAAATTACTGAACTTAAATATACAAGTTTGATAAAAAAATCATCATTCAAGAAGAAAATTTCAAATGGCATTTAGAGGCTTTTGCATCTGAACTCTTCAAATATATCACTGGATTGAAGTTTACAACAAAACTGAATCTTGCAAAAGTCTCTTTTGGCAAGAGACTGTTACATGTGTGTCCTGTGGTCCCCCATTCTTTGTGTATTTGGTTCAGTCCTGTTTCTATTTTCCCCGCTCCTCGTTTGTATTCAGTCCCTTCACCTGTGTTAGGTTAATTTGCCCCAGCTGTGCCTTGTTCCCCTTGTCTGTTCTAGTGTATTTAAACCCTGTGTTCTCCTCACTCCTGGTCCGTTCTCGTTTATGTAATGTGTGATATTGTGGTTCCTGAGTTTTGGTTTATTAAAGATCCTGTTTTCTGTTATCCCTCATGCTTCCAGTACCCCACACCCGTGACAGAGACCAATGCAGCTCCATGTAGATCTGCAGGCACTGCATCAGACTGTGAACATGGACGACTTGTGCCGGTGAATACTGTTTAATCACTATTTTGCTGCTAGTCTTTATTGTCGGACCCAATGCCTTCTGGTCACTGTTTTTTTGAATATGAAGCCCTTCAAAAGGGGCAGGAAGAACTGTATAAAAACATGATCCCTATAGGATTATCAGGATCCACACAAACAAGTACAGAAGTAGTCAGCACTTTTGCGTCCCCGTTTATGGGGGGTTTTCATAGAAAGAGACTAAATTGGGCCGCCTGTGTTTGCAAGCCCACATCTTTCAAAGCTCACTCACAACGCTCTACAAATAACCAAATTTGAAGCAGTTTTGAACATAAACAACCAAAACAATCAAATCTGAATGTATAAACACAAAATCATTAGAATTGTAATGACATGTTATACTTTTGATTATAAGTATTTCCAAAACCGATGCTACTGCCATTTTTCTGACAATTTGAAAAACCTCGATCATCAAAATGGGAATACACAGTTAGATCTTACCACAAAACAGGTACAAAAAGATGCAAAAGGCCCAGTCCATGGTCATATCAGGGTCACGAGACAAGGGTGGTATGAAAGGTGCCAACTGCCTGATACCTGAAACAAGAATATTTATTGAGAAAGACAAAAAAGGCAGTGCATATGACTAAGGAGGGACAACAAATATCGCAGAGGATGTGGACATTACGTATCAGAACAACTAAGCAAAAATGATGATTGAAGAAATTGTCAAAAATGTGTGCTCATCTCATCCAGAAGAAGTACAGTCAAAATTCTGCATGAGAGGATATAGTACTGTGTATGAGTCTGGTAAAAATACTTCGTTACTTTACTCAAGTAGTTTTTTCTGGGATCTGTACTTTACTTGAGTATGTTTTATTTGCATCTACTTTCACTTTTACTCCTCTACAATTTTAAAGACAAAGTTTACTTTTTACTCCGATACATTTCCCCATGCCCGCTCCAAGTATTTATTACACTGGCTTTCCAAACCAATGAAAAACTTGTTTTTCTTTCGATAAAAAGAATGCGCAAGCTCTTTTCCAGCATACGCTCACATTGACCGCAGATGAAGGTATACAGCTCTCGCTGCCAGCAATGATCCCAAGATTTCCGACAGGGATCACCCATGGCCATATATCAATGATATGTTCGAATTCAAAGAAGTCAAGGGAGATTTATATCGGCTAAAATGTCTTCTTTGCCTGCCACGGGTGAATGAAATTTCAGCATTCAAAACTTCACCCTCAAATCTGAGAAAACACATTGAGGTGAGTTGACGTTAAAGCAGCACTAAAGAAGATTTTTTTTTTTTATCTTAAAATAATGTTTCCAAAATCGTTTCAGCGGTTCACCAAGTCTTAACAGGGTGAAAGGCACTTCTGCCTTCGCTTTGTGGCCCTATATCTGCTAGAACCACATTATATAAATTTGCCATTGGGTCACGTTTCTGTAGTTCGAATGAGACATAAGAATACTACAAATTTGACTTCACGGCAAGCGTTACAATCGAACAACATGCTAGATAAACACATAGGGCTCTATCTTGCACCCGGCGCAAATGACTTTATTCACTGACGCATTTATTATCGCCGGTAAACTAGGAAATAAAGTTGCGCTCCCTGGGCGGGTCGGCGCAAAAAGGAGGTGTGTGTCGGCGCAAACAATCCCTAGTGCTATTTTGCAATTCCAGAAAACAATTGCGCTACTGACCAGAAAAATCCTGGTCTAAAGTCAGTGGCGCATTGCGCGTACCAGTGTTGTAGTCGAGACCACCTCACTCGAGTCCGAGTCGACACCGAGTCCATAGAGAGTCGAGTCCGAGTCGAGTCCGAGACCAGAGACGGTCGAGTCCGAGCCGAGACCGAGACCAGTGAGGGTTGATTACCTAATTTACTTTTATTTACTTAGAGTTTAAAAAATATGATCAGTTTAGGGTAAAAAGGCCACATAGTAGGTGGTGTTAAAAGTAATTTTATTACAATTTGTCATGCGCAGTTGCGCACTAGAAAATAACCAATCACTGGGCGTGTCAATCAATTTAAAGAAATATTTTATTAACATACATTAATAATCATAAAAAATATTTTTAATTGAACTCGAGTGGACTCGGGAATAATTCCGAGTCCTAAAAAAAAAAAATGTTCGAGTACGAGTCAATTCCGAGTCCAAATGGACACGAGTCCATGACAAGACCAAGACCATTAAAATATGGACTCGAGACCGAGTCCGAGACGAGTCCGAGTCTCGAGTACTACAACACTGGCGCGTACATTCAGATGCTATTTTAAGCGCGCATGCTTGGCCATAATATAGAGAGTGAACAACGCGCATACACTAGATGATTCTCTCATCTACGCAGATGCATTTTACTTTTTGCAAATGATACATTATTATAAGGAAAATATATAAACATGAGGGAAATCATTGTTGTGTCCATGACGATGGGAAAAATAGGCATAAAGCTTACACATTTACCCAAATTGCATGTTATATGCATGTTTAACCGATGCTAATTTGGGTGGGTTTGTCCCGTCCCCAATGTCCCTTCTCTTTCTTTCACGGCCCTGACGAGAACATCGATTTCCTCGGCTGTGAACAGATGCTGAAGCGCGCCTGGCAAATGCGCCGTTAAAATAGAATTGCGCCATGGAACAAGCGCACCTCGTTCATCACACTCTTAAAGGGAATGTGACATGACGCTCTTATTGGTTTATTTCCGTTACGCCCAAACCACACCAATGAATAATGAAGCTATTTCAAACCAACCCCTTTTAGATTTGCGCTAGGCGCAAGAGGCATTTATCCCGCCGCGAAAATAGCAACAGCGCCGGGATCCGCCCACAAAGTTACTTGCGCTGTGCGTTTTGACACTTGCGTTTCAGATCGTTAAAATAGGGCCCCTAGACAGTAAAAGAAACGGAGAACATTGAAGCCCGTTAAAAGCTGATAGCCAGGCGTTCTGCGCAGGCTCAAACTGACTCTGTCACGTGAGCGACCTGTATGTCTTCTAGTAGCTGCACCGAGTGAAATCTGAATAATTCCCTTCCGAATCTCAGAGACAAAGAGAGTGAGTCTTAGCTGTCCATGAGCAGCAGCAGGATCAACTTTATGACTCTCTATGGGCTTCTCCCTCGACTTAATGCCTCCACGTCCCCCGATTGCCTGCAAGCTTCTCCTCCTGTCTTTACGGTAATTTCTCTACTGTGCGACGGAGAGTCGATTCGTTATGACGCAATCGTTAACCTATTTTTTACAAAAACTGCTTCTATCGGGCCATTACGCAAGATACAAGGTAATGGAGCCTTTTATACAATGTCGTGTTTCTTTAGAAATAAATAATGGACAAATGAAGTCTTTGGATGCCTCAGAAGTTATTCGCTATCAAAGTGACGTCAAAATGAATGGGAGTCAATGGGATGCTAACAGCAGGTGAAGTTCTGCTACAATGGCGGCTCCCGCCCCCTTGGATAAACATTGCGTGACAGTCGGCTGCGGTAGGCTAAATTATTTACGACAGCAGTAACGGACTATGCCGCTTCCAACCTTTAGGGGGAGCGCAGAGGAAAAGTTCTTTAGTGTTGCTTTAATGTTATATTTTTAGCCAAGTGATTTCATATTGAAACGTGTCTTGTAAACAGCTAGCTAATTCTTAATTGCAGTATCTAATCATTATCATTATCATTTGTTCAAATAAAACATTGCATATCACTCCAGTTTAAAAAGTATGTTTCAAAGTACAAAAGTAAATCGGATACTTTTGTACTTTTACTCAAGTAGGAATGGAGGAGATCAAGCCAGGATTGGGCCTTAGTTCAATTAGGACATTTAAGTAGGTTTTATAAACGTGCCTTAGGAAAAAAAAACATTACTGGTGTTCATCCTACGCTATCTTACGACCAATTCGTACGAATTTGACAAATGATTAAAAAGTGTCTAATTCGTACGACCTCACTCATACGGATTCGTACGATTTGTCTAAACCCACGTGATGGGTAGGTTTAGGGGCGGAGTAAGGGGTAGGTCATTCGTACGAATTCATACCATGGCCAATTCGTAAAATATGTACAATTAGGAAAATCTTACTAATTCCTACGAGTGAGGTCGTATGAATTGTTACGAATTAGACACTTTTTAATCATTCGTACGATTTAGTCGTGAGATCGGGTTGGTTCATCTTGAAAACAAACGATGGCACTGACATATTTTAAGATTTCAAGATAAGTTGCTTTCAGTTAAAACAGCTCAAACATGTATTTCAGTCTGGGACTGTCTGTGAAGCCTGGGGTTAATGTTTTCTTATACATCACAATTGACATTATGTTTTCATCCCACTACCGGGAAATAGCCAGATTTATTAATGAATACTCACATTATACACTAGGCATAATAACAATGATCTTTTGATATGAGAGAAGCAAGATACAATCACACACTCCTTAGAGTCTTTGTGTTGCTTAAAAACATTTGTTTGAATGTGCATAAAAGGAACATTGATGGCATGTGGTTGAGTTAAGTTTTTCTCTCTCATAATTAACAACAGCTACAAGACCACTTCCTCTTTGTGTGTATTTTCTTTTCTAGTTCCTTAAATATTATACATCATTTACCCACATTTTTGGATTGTCTTTTAGATGTGTAAAAAGTGTCGTGACATAAATATTTATTTCCCATTAGATCAGAATTTATTAATTTATTAACTATGATCTTGGCTTTCATTTATCTTAACATCAACACAATCAAACAATCTCAATATGCCGATGTCACACTTTAAGCCTTTTGTGGTATCTCATTAATAATGTATTTGTGCTTAAGGTGCATACAAATTGTAAATGCTGTGTAGACATAAACACATTGCATTGTCTTTGAGGATGTGACAAAAGACCACAGCAAAGTGGAAACTCTTGGGCGGTTAACAGAAACTGCCCTATACTTAGTCAGACCATCTGCAAAGATGAGATAAAAAGCAAATACATCTCGTTCATCCGTGGAAAGTTTCATGATGAAAATATGAATGTCACTGGCACTCACATAGCAAGAGTTTATTGATCATTGTAGCTTAAAAGATATTATCGTTGAAGAGATGCACTATTTTTTTTTTTGTCATATCGTGGATGTGTAAAATATATTACTTTGATGAGGTGTTGCAATTTTCAACTTGCAAACACAGCAGCAGTGAATTTTTCTCACGCACTCTTAAACAGAAGTCTTCCTGTCTAATAGCTGACTTTTTTCTTTCTTTCTATTTTCTGCCCACTGTGTCAAACACCTGAATCGTTCACATTTTTATCTCATACGCTCACAGCTTAGAAATCTTAACAATATATGAAGTGTGAATCAAACATGCTACCCCCGCTCCTGCTCTTATAGGCTTACGGAAATTCCAAAAACCGTATAATGGTAATCACAAAAAAATAAGGAAATAAAAGTATTGTATACAATGAAATAATGTCACCAAATGGTTGAAAATAGAGCTAAAAAACAATCTATTCTTAAAAATACAGATGAATAAGGCTCAGCATGGAGAGGTTACCCAAAACAACTGAAAGTCTTTCTCAATACTGTCTATTACAAATACTTACCAACTGGAGGCTTATTTGTTATTAGGTAAAACTGCA